TATAAAACATCGTTCATGCAGGTTATAGAGCAATTAATCACGTTGAGTGGAAAACTTTTCTGATATTTTCTGTTTGCTTCGCTTTGAATTAAACAGCTTGGCGTTTAATTTAAGAGATGACAAGATGAAATTTTTTGATCTTCAAACTTTCGTAAAACTGAAGATCACTTTAAAACAGATTGATTTAAATATTTATTATTTTCTGTCTACTTTTGGTGGATGCGCCGGAATAATTGGTGTTATTATTGGGGCATCTGTAGGTTGGTAAAAGCTTTGTAGTGGTTTGTGGTAATTTAGTTGTTAGTTTTGTAATGGAGCGCCGTTATCAATTAGAGTTAGGGTTGAACCAGTAACAATAGAAAAATTTAGCGCACAAGACCCCCGAGGATAGAAAACTTAGAAGAGTATATAGATCGATCCCAAGCTGATCGGGAGTTGTGATGTAAGCGGTCTCCGTCATTCATCGTGTTCCTCATGAGTGCACATTTCTGTACCGGTCGTCGCCCGCCTCTCTGTAAACTTTGCATGAAACCTCTTACAGGGTAAAGATCTATTCTACTGGAATAAATAGGTGAATCCCTTTTTTTGTTCGAGTTTCAGAAGAAAAATAGGTTACGTCCTAGTGTAATAAATATATTGAATCAGTATACAGAGCGTTAGCGTTCCCAAAATACGCATCGTGTATCAAAGTGAATATAATAATAATAATAATAATAATAATCTTGCAGAGATTTTATATTCAATTTATATGTAGTAATAAAGCGGCCGTGTGTAAAATCGCCAAGTCAGACTTAAATGCAAATTTCCTTCCACAAAATACCCATTCAGACATGTCACAAGGTTTTTCCCTAGAAAGAAATAACGCAATTCGATAAAGTTACCCAGCATTTTTGCCTACACCAATTTAGAACAATAGTTCCTCCTTCCAACAAAAAACAAACTCCGAAATCAATTTAACAAAATCATTAATCATTTATGTGTGAAATTCGATCAATTTTCAGATAGTATTAAGCTCCGAATAAATGATTTTTTTCATAGGAAAACTATTATCGCCCATAATAGAATTTCCTCGCTCTAATAATAAACTAACATCAGCTTTAATGCATTCGTTTCTTTTCTAACGACAAAAGCTATTAATACAATAAATTAGATGAAGCGATTAAATTGCGGAATCCCTTAGTCAATTCGAGTAGAATGGAAAAGGATGGCATAAAATCACAAAAACGATCTCCTGAAAATCCGGTTGTAAATTTCTGACAAGTAGTGGAGATACATTTACGCCCCAGCGATATGACACTGTGTTAAATTACGCTGAGCTAGTAACTGATCCTGCTCTATTTCACAGCAACGCTCCTACCTACATAACCCTACTCACTACCCTTAACTTCAACACACCAATTACTTTTACTTTTATCCCCTTGCAAATATAATAGCTCTACATAGATTAACTAAAACACGACGAACCGCCCTCGCTTACAATAATTATAACAGTAAAAGAAATAACTCCACACGCAACCTACACACCCGCACACAAATTATACAAAACAAAATGGAAAATATTTGCTTTTGCATTTTTTTATTTTACTTCAACATGCAAAGCGCGCAAAATTAATTAACACACCTAATTATAAAATTGAAAAATAGTGGACGAATGTGTCATATTTAATTACGATATACTCAAACATGTATTAACAGTAAAAAGAACTAATTAATTTTTGGTCTGTTTTTTTTATTTCTTTCACTATTTAGGTTTAACGTTAAGACTCTGAAGTTTTAAGAGCTGCTAAACTAGTTTTTAGCGAGAAGGATTTAGGAAGATGGTATCGAGATACATAAGTTTTACTGAACTGAACAATTGATTTTTCTTGTTTTTTTTGGGTGGAATTTAATATTTTTAAAAATTTTTGTAATGTTTGTGTTTTGGAAGCGTCGGATAAGCGTTGATTTGGTTGTATTGAAATTTTCAATTTATTCAGGAGAAATAGCGCCACTAGAATAATTCGGGAAACCGTATCCATCCTTTAAAATAACACTTTTGTAGATGAACTTTATTGACAAAATCTCCCATAACTAAAAATTTGCAATTTATGACCGACCCCTGTCAGTGCGTGAGCACACAAACAGGATAGATGAACAATGTTCCATTTTAAAAATTCAGTTTTAGTTGTTTTAAATGTACGGAGCGAAAAAGGGATCTTTTAAAATAGAAAAATTGATTTGGATTTATGTGACTGATTTAATAATGAATTGGTATGAATTTAGGAAGGATGTGTTTTTGCATATTTAATTTATAGTGATTTTACATTTATGGGTTATAAATAGAAGTAGTGCCAGGTTTTCGAAATCTTCTAGAATTTATACCTTCATCTCGATACCTTTTAGTGTATTGCCAATATAAATATGTAATCGATACGTGAAAGTACTTTACGTCGGAAAAGCAGTTGTAGCAGCCAACTTCCGGTCTCTGATCGAGAGTAGATTCTCCGACTAAACCCCACAGTTTGATATAAGTATAGATCGGTCAATTTACTGAACTCTCTTTTGTTCCTACTTGAAAGAATATTTTTTACATCAAACCTATCTCACAAATGTAGTAAATAATACAAAAATAATTTACTAAACTTCGTTTTCAAATAAAGAATACAAAACTAGATAAAATATTTCACTGAGATCTTTACAAAAGACTTATTTATTTCTACCAGAGCGATTTCACTGCTGCATCGAGAAATATATGTACTTTTCGCTGTTACAATAAAATGCCTTCTTTTTAACCCAACTTCCATAACCTACAAAGAATTATCTCAGCCATCACATGTATAAAAATGTCTACACTTAGTCTTCGCGAAGCTTAAATTAAGAATCTGGAAGCGCAAAATTTACTCGCTCGGCATGCATTATTACGTAATGCATATTTTCCAAGCCTCGGCGTTCCATTTTTCAGGTGCACATTCCACAAAAATATGCACAATGCCTCTTTAACATTTATCATTATGGTACTGCCTTAAAGCTTCACTTTGAACATCTTTCATGACACTACCGGTTTTTAGAATTCATATTTTGCAAAACCGGTTTTAAATTTTTGTTTGCTGGCAATTAAGAATTACAATATCTTGAAAAAATCGCGCCGATTTTGCTGTTTTTGTGGCTATGTGTAGAAATCAATTCGGTTAACAACAGTAATATGGTTGGTGTTGTTGGTGTTTAAGTGTTCGGTCTTTGCAGGTAATGCTTGCGTTGCGTGTTGTTAAAATTTGAGTCCAGCAACAATAACATTCCAGTAATAATTTAACGAAAAGTGTACGCGGTCCAGCATAAATGACTAAAGCTTGTAATGCCCGCGTGTGGTTGATTTTGATGGATGGCGTAATCAAGGAGAGGACTGGCTAATTTAGTGTACAACAGTATCTGAGCAGAAACACATAATTCTGTATACAGCCTTCCTGGTCAATCTTTTTCCCCTTCGTGCGCCTCAAAATAGATCGCAACACACTAGAAATACCCTGATAAATGATCCGTTTTAAGGGACCAACTTGTACAAATCCGGTAACATTCAATCAACGTTACATTGGCAACGATGCAGCGGTTTATGTTAAGTTTCGCCAAGGGGATGATTTACTCACATGCGTAATTACTCTCGACTGTTAGATGTGATGAAAAATAATTCTAGTTCCTGACGAAAATCATTTTTTTTTACCAAAAGGGAGTCTGGATTAATTCGGACGCATTAAACCTTCGGTTCATGAAAAATCGGGGAAATTTATAGTTTTTAACAGTTTTTTTGGAATTATTTAATTAAACGTGTTTCGATGAGAAGCGACAACTTTCATTTATAAACACGCTATGAAGGATTAAAGCTGATTATTTAACGCATCCTGTGTATTACTGTTGTTATTTGAATACGAAACAGCTCAGTCATTTTTCTTCATTTCTCACAACTCATGTATTTTTTCTTACATAATCCATCATTTTCAGTTTCCTTGTATTTTGCAAAACATAATCGTTTTCATATCTAGGAAATAAAACTAAGCGTTAAAATTTATGAATAAACGTTGAAATAAAAGCATCATATTTATTATTGACCAAACATTCATATTTTATATTTATATACAAGCAATCTGATATTGGCACCATAAAACACATTAAGTGGTCACTTCAAATATAAAGGATAGAATAACAAGCACATAAAGTGGGAAAGGACTGCTTTTTTCTCCGCTCTTCGAACGAAATCGATTCCGTAATCTCCTTTGAGGGGTTTACCTCTATGTCTCCCGAATGCAGTTCCATCTCCGTACTACCCATATTGTATTCTCCCCTACCTTAATGACATTTTAGTTTCATCAATCTTTAATAAACGTTTACTTAATTTACTTTTATTATTGGAAACTTTTCTAAAACCACCTCTTAAAAAATTTATTCCTGACTTAATCCTGTTATTTGTATAATCCACATTAATTTGACATTGTGACTAATGAAACGCCGACAGTTACAATTTTCTCATTTGTTATCCCATAACGACAGTTGTTATAGACGTTCTATTCACTGCGTCATCTGTATCGACAAATTTCAAACTTGATTGCATGATAAACACTAAATAAATGCACGACTTTTATTAAAACTATGAGAAAAGAAAAATTAAAATTTTAATTTTATCATGGCCTTTGAAGCTCTCGCGCAAACAATCTTCCCTCTTACGAATAATCTTCTCTCAGGTGCTTACTTAATAAATATAAAGCCCCTAATTACAATTTTTGTAAAAATAAAACAGAGCTATTGATGATATTTTTTTAGAACGATATGAGCCATCAAATCTGAGAGTTGGGAAAGAGGAAACTTGTCCACTTTTCGTTAACGTTTAAGTTTCAGACAGCTTGAAAGTCGCAGAGTATTTAAGACTTAAAGAAAACAAGCTTGTTTGCTAGACTGGAAGTTATTTCTATATTTATATATATTTTTCCCAACAATTTTATTGTGATTGTTTAAATTCTACCGTTCTGTTGCAGCAATGACAGATGATCCACGATTTGCAGAGCCCATCCCAAACGTTACAGTGGCCTTAGGAAGAGACGCTAGTTTACCTTGTGTTGTAGAAAATCTCGGTACATACAAGGTAAGATTTTAGAAATTGTATTTCCGACAACTAATTTATGACAGTCGTCCGTGATATCGATGACACGTCGACACTACTATTCGACAATTTCACCAATTTTACCAACACAATTTCCGACTTTTATTTCCAAGGTGCAAGACATTTTAGCGATATTACCATTTTCTCTCACACATGATGTTATTAGCAAAATGAAAAATGTTACAACTGTTTCTGATTACATCCAACAAAGATCTGTTCATTTACATCTGGTGAAGATCCAATTTATTATTCATATATACATATTAATTTAAACCCTGCATTTATACACGTCAAACTCGCATTAGTAAAGCAAAGCTTAGAAAGCTTATTACTTCAATTAATGCATTAAGCTTATATTAACAATCTCATTTATTATAATTTGTTTACAAACATTTACTTGATGCAACAAAATGGTGGATGCGCCGGGCTAACAATAATTTAAAAAATAAATGCGATTGAAAGTGAATTAATACAAGTGTTGACGTGGCGAAGTGGTAAAATCAAAAGTGTGTGGCCAGTGGGAACCTCGAGGGATCATCGTTGATGCTTCACCAGATTTTATACGTTTATCTCTAGAGGCTAAGAAATAGAAAAAAAAGTAAAAACACGCTGAAATTAATTTGGGACATGTGTAGCGATGGTACAAGGAAATTTAATTAGGTATTGTTGCAGTTGTTTATGAAAGGGATGAAATGGTGGATGCCCCGGATTACTCATTAGCAAATTAATTAATTTCAGTACTTACAAAATCAAAATTAATTAATTTATGTTTAATTATTTATTAGTGTCTTTATTGTTTTTTTGGAGTGTGAATTTTCCGTTAGAATGAATTTAAATATTTGCAGTTGAGTCTATATTTTAACGTCTAATGAGCAAATGTAATTAGTAATATTTACATGACTAAAAATTTGATGAATCCGAATGTTTTTACATGTTGTCATTGGACTCGGTTCACAATTGTATTTGCATGATTTGTTGAACTATAATGTAAATTTAGTAAAATTAGAGCATTATTTACGATTACCGCAACTGCCCAAAATAAATACCTGAATTTATTTGATAGCATATATCCTATTATTTGTTTTATTGACAGCATTTTTTTTTATGACAGTTACTATTAAATACTGAATGTACATCAATAATGACGTAATCACGCAGTGCCGTTATAGAGTTATAAACTAAATTCCTGCATCTGACAACATTGGTTATTTATAATTGTTAATTGAAATTATTTTAATATCTAAATTAATTGAGTTATAAACATAACTAATAGAATATATTTTATGATCGGCGGATTTAGTGAAAGATGGAATAGAATCAGCATTATAAAGCATTTGAAGGCAATAATTCAAAGTAATTGGTGAATTAAAATGTCCCATTAAAATAATTTATGTGGATGTAAGGAAATTACAAAATCCCGTTAAATATAAGTAGTATATCTCTCCATTAACAAGGTGCTTGAGGCTCTAATTTAGGCATGCAATGTAAATATCTAAGATAAGTTACATTATTTCCTACCCCATCTAATCTTCGCTAAGACGAAGACTGGGCCCATTTGAGCTCAGGATTTGCTGCGTTAATCGTTCCAAGATTGCTGTCACGGTCGTACTTGAAATTGTTATCATACATACGATAAGTTTGAAACGACTGAGATTTATAAACATGACTTTGCAGTCCATGAATGTGGCGTGGCGCGCATTTTTCTCACGATAACTGTTTCTATTATACTCACTTTTCTCAAAAGTTATAATTAACTTCATCAAAAATAAAATTTGAATAGCTAGTCTTTGTAAAGTTTTTCAATTAAAAATCATTTTTAGATCCCGAAGAGGTCATGTATCTAATCCAAGAAGCTTGTTTTAATTTTGATATTATTTCAGAAGGGCTAAATCTCGGACAACTGATCACTATGTTCATATTGTAATAAATCTCTGATTTGTAACGCGCATAAGCTAACATCCATCTTAGGAGATTACGCGATGCGTCCGACGTTGCACGAATGAACATTGTAAAGAATGAAGCAGACATAAATAATGGTACTATTTTTATTTATTTGCTTCTTTGACGGGAAAATGTTGAGCAATTTGTGTTAAAATAATAAGTGGAGGAAATAATCCAATAAAGGAGCATGAAGGTGTTTTACTTGTTTAATTTTCGTAGTTTCCATGCAAATATGAGATTCACTAATTAGAACAACATGATCAACATACTTGAGTGAAGCCTTAGATTTCCGGTTGTGACACGAAATGTTCGTAGTTAAATTAGTTCTTATCATACTCTCATTTAAGACCTGTTCCAATACACAACACCACGCTGAAATAACTGCAAACTTAATTAAATTAGAGGTTGCACTTATTTTATCTTGTTTTCGATAACTAGAGGAAATTGCGAAAATTCTTCTCAAATCGAAAAATCTTCACGCACTCGTATCGAATATGTATCAGGATATAAAAAGTCCTTTATTCGAATCGGAAGATTTTATGGATAAGGTTTAGTGCATTTTCGTGATGATTTTGTTTGTAAAAATTTCGTGTTGGGGGAAGTCCCTGCTTAAATATTCGTTACCGAATTGGGTGTAGTGGGCTTAACCACTATAAAAACCACAATAATCGCTCGAAATAACGTATGGCTAAGGGCTCCACCCCATCCGTTATTGCCTCGGCAACGGCACTTGCCGCGTTGTTCAACTTTAATTTACAGTCAAGCGACTACTCTTCGAATTATATATCTCAACCGGCAAAACTGGAAATGTGTTTAAACCGAGTCAAATTGTTCAGAAGAGGCTAAACCACTGGCGGCCTGTACAGTTGTACACCGCACCAGTTAATTGCTTTAAGAAATTTGACACTTAAAAGTACAATTCGTTCAATTGATCAACGTCACCGCATCCGCTGATAATAATCAACAAGTTAGTCGAAACATTTATACAGCGCTTTGCGGCCTAACAACTACTCCTTCTGCGCCTTGGTGACTTCATTGCTCGTTTAGTTTGATTACAGCCAGCTTCTTCGAGATAATAGCCAGTCGGGTCTTTTCGTATTTTTCTTCTTTTCATATCTAAGTTTTCAAATGAAAAAATCCACCTTATCTACCCGAGCAAATATGAGATGATAATATATAAAAACGAGAAAATTCGCGCTTAATTCCTGGTATAAATATATTTTGATGGGCTCCCTAAAATCATTTTAAACTGACTTGACCCAAGGGGATTTTATCTCACAAAACAATAGAACTCAATTTCAAAATCGCCCTGTAGAAGAATTCACCTCGTTGATTTTAAAATACAATTCTCACGATTCATATCCAATGCACACGAAGAATTTTTTCATAAAATCACGTGTTTAATATGAAATTGCTTCTCACACCTAATCCGATTTATATCTTAACCTTAAGTTTTTTTTTTATTATTGATTAAGCAAACATTTCATCGGATTGTCTACCGGAAGACGTATTCTCTTTGATAAACACCTCTCTAGAGACTTACTGTTGGAGAGTTCCGCTATATAAAGGGGTGTTTTTTCATGTTTTTTTCGATTAAACGCAATATTTATACAACAGCATAGTACTCCTCTTTTAAACTGAATTAAACTTATTCAAATAAATAACAAAACAAAATTTTTATTATACTTGATAAAATGATTTACACAGCACCAGGCGCCAAACACGTTTTAATCTATAAAAAGAAAAATATTTCATCGGGTTTATGTGGTTTGAAAAAATGATTATATTAGTTAAAAGTTGTTGGTTCGTTGAGATTTAATGAAAAATAATGTTGTAAATGAAAGTGGGAAAGCTTTTAAGAGATAGTATCGGCCAATTAATTTAAAGCTAGCAATATTTTACTTTCGTGTTGATTTAATAGAAAGTCTAGTCTTAATTGCAACACATCAGAGAACGAAACAAAGAGATTCTATTATACGATTCGAGTACCAATAAAATAAATCTTATTTAAATTTGAGTTGAATATTCGTGAATGCAAAGTCGGAAGTGATCACTTCCAGGACACGTTGAAATAAAATGTTTTGCAATGATATTGCGGCAAAGCACATTCTTATACTTATTTACATTTATATCTAAAGTCAAGTTTATTATAAATATTCAAGAGCAATTGCAATAAAACGTGGTGCAGTAAATCTTTCCGCATGCGCCAATGTGGATTTAGTTTACAGCCATTGCTTTATCCCGTCTGAAATTCGCCACACAGTTATTTTCCGGTCCGGAGAGGGTTTTGCCAAAATTTGTTTCGTTGGCTAATTTTCTTAAAATAATTATGCAAACCCCTCGCGACATTAAACTCGACAATTTGTATTAAAGCCGCAAATTCGACTTTTTCAACTTCGAATTCGAATTCTTTACGCTCGACAAAACTTGAGCATGACAAATGTATCAATAGAGGCCTTTCCGACATGAAGGGAACAAACGGAGCTACAATTCATACTCAAGACAGTTTCGTGCTATTATAGAACGAGAATCGCGAACGGTTTGCGGCTTCTCTTCTCTGTATAAATATTAAAGGATTTCGACTCACATAACGTCGACTTAATGCATCCAACGAACGACAGCGACTAATTTATTTATTATTATTACGCTGAAATGCACTGCCATTTCATAAACACAATCACTACGACCTAACCTCTTCCTTAATAAACAAAAAATTCTTACTCCAGTCCCTTGCAAATTTTTATTATTCGATTATTTTGACAAAATGAACTTTAAAATTCTAATAGAAAATTTGACCGATGCTTAATAATGCTTCATGAAACGATGTTTTTATTGAATTTATATTATAGAAGTTTTAAGCAGGTAAAAGAAAATTCAGATTTATGAGGAGATATAAACGGCCGATGTAAATTTTTAATGTGAAAAGGTCACAAGTTGTGCGACTTAGAAAATAGTTACTTTGGAAATAAATCTAACAAAACATTTGTGTTGAACTTTTACAACAACTTGTTACGTTGAAAGTTTAAAAAATCGGTGAAACT